TAACGTAAAAGCCGCCCCCCCCCCCCTGGTGACGTCATGACCAAGCGGAATATCAGCGAGTTCTCTTTTTCTGTGACTTACATTATAATCAAGTTAAAGGAAAATTATATTTCTATAATGTTATATAAAGATAATCATTACCAAATATTAGATTTCATATTATCATACTGTATACAGCTTGCAATTTATGCTTCACCGCAATAAAAGTCTTTTCTTGGCATGCTTTTAATATATTTTTCAGTAAAAGTTCATTTAAATTATTGAACTACAAATTTAATACGATCGACTGGCGTTATTCATATTATTATGTAATCGATTCGTTATTGCCATGGTTTCCTGCCTGCAGCGAGCGGGCGTTCAAGCTATTTCCAGGCCCTTTGATAAAAATTCAAGGCCAAGGATAAGCTTCTTCCCAAATGAACTAGTTAAATCTATTTTAGTACAAAACTAGAGCCCCATTTTTTGTACAAAATTGAGGGCCCACCGGGCGATCGCCCGGTAGCCCGGTGGGCTAATCCGCCTCTGCATACAACAATCGTAAACGAAAATCGCGTCGTGTAGATGGGCCTCAAATTGCATAAGCGACATGGATCATTTGAGATAGAGAAAAATTTTTAGCTAACATGCACAATACACTGTACGCAGTAGCTGTTGGCCTCATCAGTTGACTAAAACCGCGTCTCAATTTTCCCAGTGGAAATGATCGAAAAATTTATGGAAAGATTTCGGTTGTCTGTGTCATATGAATGGAACATTAATTTTGTTTTAACAAATTGCTTTCTCGTGCAATGCAGGGACCAGTAACACAAGCACTCCTCTACTACGGTACTACCGGTGTACGTTGTAAAATCCCAATCTTCAATTAAGTTTTGAAACTCAATCTTTCGCCGTAATAGGCAATTCCAGCTTTTAGTTTATGCGTGCAGGGGACGATGGGAAGTAAGGTATCGCATTGCTGATTATGCTGAAAAAATAAAAATGGTGGCCGTGTAAACACGGAGTGATAAAGCTTAATACTTGTAAATATTGAAATATTTTGGTTGTTTCGGTAGTTTTTATTGAAATTTTTTAGCATAATCGGCAATATGATACCTTACTTCCCATCATCCCCTGCACGCATAAACTAAAAGCTGGAATTGCCTATTGTGTTCTTCACAATTTACTTGGAATTGAAGAAGTTCCGGAAAATGGGAATAATTAACTGCAAACGGATGAAAGTACTTGGTGGTTGTATATTCTTCAACACGCCATTAATAACCTGTTTCAAAACGGTTATATTTTTACTCAAATGTGCTGTCTGAATGCGGGAAATGTTATTTCATATTCATGAATTTTACAGGGGGTGGAACTTTTGATGGTAGTGGGGGAGTATTCTCCTCCTAAAACTCAATGTTCTTCCGTAGTAGACTGTAGTAGACTGTAGACTGAAATGCTTGTATTAATCAATGGACAATAAAAGTCCATTTTATGCAGGTCTTCGAACCTGTGCCGTTAATTTAAACAGGTTACATGGCTTTTGTATTTTTTTGTTTTTCACAGAAATTAATGTTCTATGGGCAGCACATCAAGTCCATCACAGTTCGGAGGATTTTAATATCAGTGTATCGTTGCGACAAAGCGTGGTACAGCAGTTTGTTACTTGGGTGAGCAAATATAATTATACTCAGTATCTGTTTTTTGTAGAGTACTTTATTGTCTAGCTTGTATTCCATTGGTAAATTAAACTTCAGTATTTTCTATAAGGCTTAATTTATTATTGCATGGGAGTCCTGTGATTTTAATGGTTGAGAACTAAGATGCGTTCGGTGGTGGGGGTTCTGAGGTCTCAACTCTCAAGAATGGCATAAAATTTTCATGCATGCATTCTAGGAGGCTAGTTTACAGTTTATATCTGTGCATGTTTACTGCATTTTTACTTGGGGCCCATATAGTAGTGGGACCTGGGCAAAATTGTCCCATTCGCCCCCACCCATTCTCGTACCCAGAGCCTTTCTTCCGCGCGGTCAACCGAGCGCGACGAGGCGCTCTGGCCAAATCCATATCAAACTGGCATCTGATTGGCCACAACGAAATATATGGTTTATTGTAAATATGAATAAAAATACACAAGTGCTCCATGAAGCGTTGGTTTCGCTTTGGAGAAAATTGGGAGAAAAGACATTATTAAAGTTGAAAGAACAGCAGTACGAAGCAGTTAGGAAGATTGTTGTTCATAATCGCCCACAAAAGAGGTAGATTTCGCTAATTTTATTTATTTAAATCAATTAGTTGATTGAATTTATTACAAATTAATATAGCTTGAGACGTGATGTTCTCACTGTCAGCAAAAACTCAACATATTTATGACAGATGCTCATCGTATTCTCAAATCAGTGATGTTAATTAAACAAATCTGTGTTACATGTTCAAAGCTGAAGTGCCATCTGAAGAGAAAATAAGCCAGCCAGAATATGAAGTTTGTGATGACTATTTTCGTCTTAGAAACCGATTTTTTACAATTTTCAAAGGATTTGCAGTATAGTATGTCTTATGTATGACTGTTGACTTTTAATGAAACACAAAAAATAGTCTAAAAATCCGTACAACAGCGACTTAAAATCGAATATAAAATAGTGAGACAATCTCTCGTCTTCGTATCCGTAGCCATTACTGCTTTGACAACGTTTAAGAGAGAAATATATACTAAATTTTATCAACATGCATTGAGAACATCACGTCTTACCTACTAATTGATTTAAATAAATAAAATTAGCGAAGCCTACCGCTTATGTGGGGTTTTCCTGGAGAAAAACTTTCAAAACGAAACAAACAAGAAAACCGAAGTGTTTATCCGCGTTTTTCGTTGAGCATGAGCAGTGTTTAACCGGATACCATGTTTTTATAGTATCCGGTTATGGGTTTAGCCAGAGCCCTTCGTCGCGCTCGGTTGACCGCGCATAAGAAGGGCTCTGGGTACGAGAATGGCCACCACCATATCGGTGACCAGTTAAGTTCCATTCATGGAACTCAAAATTATCCTTGCGATATAGATTTGCTGATGAATTCGAACGCAGCTAACTATGTAAATTCCAGTCTGAACATTTCAAATGGAACAGAGCGAATTTGCGTACGGTTCTGAGTTCGTTATCAATTATCAAATTTTATGCGATCCACTAATATACGTGTGGACGCCGAAACGGGAGTTCAGAATCTCATTGCATGCATCGCCAACTTTGTTTGCCAAGATACACTGAATAACAACTTGAAGAGTTAAAATGCAATGTGAAGTAGAGAATGGTGGTAAAAAACAGTCCATTTTGTTCAGCCCACCTGTTCTCCATTCACATGCATGATGAAGTACATGGGCCGGGGGCCACCTATATGTTTAATCCCGGACGTTCACTTATAGTTAGTGGTCGAGTAAATCGTAATATAATGTTATCGACTTTTTAAATTTAGTCAAAGAATGTTATAACTAAATCTAGTCACAATCTTTGTAATGTTGTGTTTCGGCTTAACTTTTATCTAGATTTTCTACATACCACTAGCATTGATTGGTATCAACCCATCGACATTGAAAACGCATTTATGGTTTTCATGCTTGTACCAAATATGGACGCATACTGAGGTAATAAACGCCCCTACGAAAATTTCACATATATGATTTCACATGTGAAGTAAAAATTTCATATGTGAAAATAGTATTTCACATATGAATTCTCCATAATGTGAAATCAAATCACTTGTGAAATCCTTAATTCACACGTGAAAAACTCGTATGTGAAGTCAAATCACATATGAAATCCTTCGTTTAGTAAGAAAATTTGCCCGTCTGTATAAATGTAACAAAACGGGAAGCCATTTTGTTTTTGTGAATAGTTCAAGGATATCCGGAGCTGAGCAACCAATCAAATTGCGTGAAAAGTACTAACCACTTCCCGAGTATATGCTAATAATAATTAGTCGTGACTTTTTTATTGTAGGTTGTAGATAATCTAGGACCGTTAGAATACATTTTTGTCACACCAGCACACCATCGTGTTCATCATGGTATGATTAATAAAACATTTGTAATTTATTGCAGTTGTATTCCAACAATATAATTATGATCATCATGGTGTCGTTGCATGGTGTGTTTATAGATCTACGACTCTATATGTCAGCATGAACAGGAAAATAGTATGGATCTATTTTCGAAGTTCCATCCCTAAGTACGAAAATTTCACATGTGAGTTCGCATGTGAAAATACCTTTTCACAGGTGAAGTGTGCCAATTCCATAAAATAAATAGTAATTTCACATGTGAAATAAATTTCCACATATACCTAACCTTATTAATTTCACATGTCGAAAAAATGTGTGAAACTCTAATTTCATGTGTGAAAATTGTGAATTTCACATATACGAAATGAGCATTTTTTGAGCAACATGTGAAATGTTGGAATTCCACATCAAATTTTACATGTGAATTTTGCCTGGAGTACCGATGTTATAGAGGCACATAATCTTTACTGTCTTAATCATGCAGGCAACCCAATATATATAGTCGAATGGCCATGCAGATTGCAGAGCGCGTTGATAATTTCGAGATCTATAACAAAATAACAATTGAGTATTGCCCAGTAATTAGTTTATTTATCCGCTGCTTATTTCAGGTCGAAACCCTTATTGCATTGACAGAAATTACGGTAGGCAATATTAAATATTGTATGATACCTTATTGAATTCTGATCGTTTAATTGGCTGTTTATGGTCACGTGATATTAAATAGAAAATTCCATTTCCCAAGAGTGCAATGGAATACGTTCCATTGCACTCTTTGTGAGTGCAATTGTACTATACATTTTATTCCATTGCACTCTTTGTGTTTTCGATAAATTGCATCCGTCAAAATGCTTCTCGTACGTATTTTAACCCGATATTCGAAACTCAGTAAATGGGATTTAATGCAAATACGACTCGTTAAAATGGCGGGAGCTTACAATAAACCTTTTAATATTAGTCTATTTTGGTATTATATAAAACAAATAATGAATTTATGTTTCTATTCGTGCAATGGTAAGAATATTTTCCTTCGGTGAAAGATGGAATGTTCCATCTTTCACCGAATGAAAATATTCTTACCATTGCACGAATAGAAACATTCATTATTTGTATATTAATCTATGGTCTTAATCACGTAAACGAGGCCAAAATGATGTACTTTTCTGAAGCATGTATTAAAATGAAAGTACCGTTTCAGGCAGGATCGCGAATCAAAATGAATTTTAAACCATTATCGCAGATCTTATTGGTCTCATTCCTTCCCCCTTCTCCTCTCCATGCAATGTTGGTTCATTGGCGTAATTCGCATTGGAAAATAATGCGGTATCTGAATATCTTATGCTCATGACCGTACGCAAGATTTTTTCTCCAGGGGGCAGGGTGTTAGGGTTATGTAAATGTGATCAAAGTCATATCAGTTAGATGCTTATGGCCGCCCCCTGCAGAATCGTACATTCTGATTCACAAGATTATTAGCGCTATTTGGCTTAATAATTTATGATCACATTTTTATATTAGTAAGAGAGGGCAGTTTCCCATGCTGCACCAGTGAACTCTAATAATAACTGGAAGGCTAAGTCAGGGGGGGAGTTGAAGCCGTGCTTGAAGCTTTTTTTGTAGGTAGACCCAGTCTTTTTTAATTTTTTTTTTCAAAATATGCACATTTTTTGATCACAAAAATCTTGCCCCAAAATATTAGTTATACTACCAAATTTAATTTATATCAGTAGTATGATAAATGAATTTAATATTCGCAAAGCAAACAAATCACGAATTAGCAAAAAAAATGCGAAAAACACGAACATAAGCATGAACGGTCTGAAAAACCGCGCGTTTTAGGCTGCTTTTTCTGAGTTTTTGGAAGATTAAGATAAAGCTAAGACGTCATACCTCAGGAATTTTTTATACCCATGCAAAATACATCTGTATGCGAAGTTTCAAGAAGATTTAACGTTTTAAGGTCGAAAAAAAAGCATTTGAAAATTGACAAAAATATTGCCATATTCAAAGTGCTCATAGTG